ACTTGTTAAAAATATGTTACTATATAGTTATTTTTTAGTTTAGGCAGGTTCCTCTGCTAGAAGCGGCAGATCATTGCTATTCAAATGCATCTTTACAATTTATTTTCGTTTGTTTTATTTATTGTTTTTTTAGTGTATATAAAACCTCAGACTTTAAATATCCCTTGATACTCATCCAAAATAAGCAAGGAAGCTGGAAGTAGTGTGCAGGTACAAACTTGTGAATTATTATCTGTGGAGAAGAATGCAGTGAAGAAAGCCTTTTCATCAGTCCAAGAAAAGACACAGTCTGTAGCTGAATCGATTGATGACCTTTGGGCAAAGGTCAGAGAATTCATCTTTACTGCCGTTTGTCACAAGCGAAATAATTGATGGAAGGCTGCCAAAAATGGTTTGAGCTGTAAAGCGGGTTAAAACAGAACTGGAGCATTAGGTATTGCCAGGGCTGAGTCCATATTGATCCAAAGAATAAGAAACAACCATTTCTGGAACTCCACATCCATTATCAACTGGGCAACCCTAGACTTCAGCTGTACGCATTATGGGAGAAGAATCAATTTTTGTCTTAAGTTTTTACCTTATTCACAGCCTTTATTATATGTAACATTGGCTGTTAGGACATCAGCCACTCCATCATGAGAGCCCGTAGGCACAGAATTCCCAATCCCCCACCCTTCCAAACTAATTTTTAAAAAATGTACTAGCACTTTTAAATATGATAAAAATGATGGTATATATATAGCTATATATATACATACACACACACACACACACACACACTTTCACCCTGTGTCAGTTTGTGTACGTTTGTGTGTGGGTAATAGTGTTGTTATTAGTGTGTTAGTGTGTGGGAAGAAGCAGTATGTATTAATAGCATGTTAAAAATAAAAACAAATTAAAGGATCTCCAATATTGGGCGTAACCCAAAAAAGACATTAAATGGATACCAACTTACCTTAATAAAGCAGGTTTGGTGTTTGTATAGATCATGCTCCTTAATCTCGCTGCTCAATAGCCTATAGTATCCCTTTACTAATCAGCCACAAATTAAACAAAAAGAGAAATGAGGAGGAAGGGAATGGGATCAACGCTTAGATAATATACCCCTTATATATTAATTGCTTAGTCTATTAATTATGTCAATGCCATAGGAATCAATCTTAATAAAATGTTCTTTATTAGAAAGGAGTAAATGTGTCATCTCTCCTAAACTATTAAAGAAGACTTGGATGACTGGGCATATATATATATATATATATATATATATATATATTATATATTTAAAATCTATAAAAAGTGATGCAGTATTGAAAATATTTGAAAATATCTCAACTTAATTCTCACTAGACTAGACTAAAAGTCAAATATGCTCAGAAGAAAACAGTTGAACTGCACACGGCTAGAAAGTAAGATATACAGCTGAATATGAAGTGGCAAGTGAAATTGCTACTAATTTGCCATCGAGTCTAAATTGTGATCCCCACCCTAGGTCAGGCATAGGCAACCTTTGGCACTCCAGATGTTTTGGACTACACCTCCCATGATGCTTTGTCAGCATTATGGGTGTAAGAGCATTATGGGAGATGTAGTCCAAAATATCTAGAGTGCCAACGGTTGCCTATCCCTGCCCTAGGTAAAAGATTGTGAGGTCTTCAGCATGTTAGATATAGCGTCAGGATAAATGTAGAAGGCTCATTAAGCAGCACTGCTTTCACAAATATGAGAAAACCAGATATCCTGATAAACCACATATCAATACTAGGAATGTAATGTTTGTAACTTGTAATAAGGCCCATCTCAAAAATAGTGCATGCCAACCTAGTGTGGTTTGAGAGCCAGCTTCCTTGATTTAAGGAAGATACTTCTGCTGGTGGAAAAAGCAATGAGGACATCCTCACACAGAAGAATGTTCACCCCTTGCAGAAACACATGAGTTAAATGAGAATGGTGTTCTAAATCAAGACTTTTCCAAAATTTTCGGGAAGGTTAGAGGGTATGCTGTGTATACAGTGACAGTATCAGAAATATTACATAGTAAACTGAAAAATAAGCAAACTCTTATTTTCATTTTTTTTTCCCATCAAGATCAGAAGAAGTCAAAACAAAAATAACAAATATAAATCCACTTCACTGTTTTTCTATTACGTTTATCAAAAGTCTAAGTCTAAATGATGACAGTGAACAAAATGGCCCAAAGTTATTTCTGCTCACATCCCCGAGCCCATATAGTAGTGAGTGTATTGTAAAGGTTTTCTTTTTTGTAATAGAAAAATCAACTACCCAGCACCTCCAATGTTTTTATTGGCTAGTATACTTTGTATTAACTGTGTCCCCCAAGGCTTACTGAAATATTCTTCTCTGGAATCCAAATTACATTTCTTCGTTGCCTGCCGTGTAAAGTCGGAATGGAGGGAGGTATGATTTATGGGAATGTGAAAAAAGAAGACACTGAAGGACAGAGCTGAAGTGATGAGCAGGTAAGTGAGATTGAAGAGAGCTGAGCGGTTTGATGAAAGGAAACCATTTATATCTAGCTTTATAAATAAATAATGGAATGGAGCATGTACAAACTGATAATAATGTATAGGATAAAACACGGAGGGTAGCACACGAGGAGAATGCAATGTGAGCTGGAGATATGTGATGCTTCTGAAACAACCTTCAAGGGCATTAAGAAGTTCTATGGGACAATGCATCAAACTTCCAGTTATTTTAGTGCATATTCAAAGTTGTAACATTGTGCAAATGTTATGTCTGCATAGATTTACAATGAGTCTATAACAATTTACTGCAAATAGACTGCCCAACACACAGTAGGAAATACCGAGCCTCAATTATTTTTTTTATATCATATGTAGAAAAGTCGTTCTGTTTAGAAAACATGCATCAAGATTAACCTGTTTTGCTTTTTTCCGAGGAGATTTCTGTTTGCGTTAAATCAGTGATTATTAACCCATGGGCTGGAACCCAATATTGTGTCCAAGTGCCATTTCAGTGAATCTACATTAGTTGAAACAGGTGCATTGGACGAATCAGAACTCAGGGCCTTGCAATCAGTAATGTGTGTGCTGTTGCCCTTCCTTTAAAAGAATAAAGTAAGCCCCATTCACATCGGATAGGATTGTACAGCACAGGTCTATAGTTCCTTTGGTTTTTTTTTCAAATTATTTTCCTTTTCCTTTTATAGTTCTGTGTGTGTTATGTGCGCTGCTCCTAATTCTGACTTCCTAATTCTTTTTAACTTTTATTACTACTTACATTATTCACAAAAAAAGCACTTTTTTAATGTCAGTGTTTTGCTATATTGAAATGTGTTTCCATAGGAAAATTGGCATTTAAAAAAAAAAATAATAATAATTCCTTATGAAATACATAAGTGAAATTTAACTTTGAGAGATGTCAAGTTTGAAAATTACACAATGCCATTTTTAATGTAACACAATGGTTACAAAATAGCTGTGTGTGGGGGGTGGGGGTGAGGGGAGAGAGAAATAAGGCAAAGAAGTTAAAAAGAAAAAAAGAAAACCAGTCCAGAGATAAGGAAAAGACTACAGTCTTCCCTGATTATTGCCAGAAATAGGTTCCAGTGCTCTAGCTGCACCAAAATAGAAAAAGTGATGTACGTACTGTTTAGGAATTTTGTAACAGAATATATATATAAAACTAGGATCAAAACTTTACCCATTTTACATCACTTTATTATAATCCAAATCTTCTACATCTTTTTATATTTGGAGGTATGTGTAATGGATGAAACTTATATAAATTAGATTTTTTTTTTCTTCTTGTCTATAAAATGCACTTACAGGTCTTTATACATTCCATATAGATATAAAGGAAAAATATGAATTCTCACAATATGCTTTTTTTAAAAACAAAAATACCATTATTGTGCCCAGCCTCATCAAAAATTAATTAACAGATACATAGGTCCAAACATTGGCAGTCCACTAAGGGCAGACCAAGCAGGGAGTATTATTTCAGTGCTCTCTACATGGTCCTAATTTAGCCCAAGCACATCTAATGATTTCCTGGCTCTATGCTTTTTGGGAACAAATCCAGGACAATGGGACAGGACCCTAAAATCTGGGCTGACAAGCCACAAGTGGGATGATCGGAAATCCTGTTTCAAGAAAAGACCAGTAGTGCAAGAGAGAGATAATGAGGGACCAGTATATAGACAAATAAATGAATAAGTAAACACTGGAAACAATGATCAAATAAAACAAAAGGTCGAATGTCAGGAAGAGACACAATTAAATAAGTAAAGCACAGTTACAAGAGAAAAAGATTAAGGGTTACCCCAAGCATCATAATAACAATAAGAGTACCTTGGCGTTGTGGTCCAGTAATGGGAGTAACCGCTGAGTGCTGTAAGACAATGAATGTGCGTCTGTACTGTACATAGGATTACACACAGAATTAATGCCACTATAATCCTGCAGGAAGTGGCATTATATTTCCGGCTGCAAAGGTATTACACTCTATATGTGCAGTGTTTGGTAGTGAAGTGCTGCACATACAAACTCCAAGCACTCTCTCCACTCCAAATCACTGAAAAGGTCATGGTGCTTGGAGTAACCTCAAACTGCACTAGCAAACAGAAAAAGATACCAGGAACAACAAGGGTTATTTACTAAAGAGAGAAGTCAATTTCAAATTTCAAGGTCTGAGTAGTTGAAAAGGCGAAATACTCTAATTCAGCTATGCTTTCAGAATATATACTCTGACCTTAAATTTGAAATCCACTTAGAATTCTCACTCAGTAAGTAACCCTGTAAGTTCAGGGATGTAAGGAGTGCTTTGTAGTTCACCTTCATTGCCCATTCAATGGAAAACTGTGCTGTAACTTTCCTGTACAACCCCATCTCAAATGGTGCAATTATATGCTGTTACAGTGATCAGCGGTGGTTTAATCATAGGCGTGCGCAGCCTATTGCATTAGGGTGTGCACCCTAAAGCACAAACACACGCCGCGTGTGTGTGTGTGTGTATGTATCTATATACACGCAGTGTATGTGTGTGTGTGTGTGTATGTATCTATATATATATATATATATACACACATATATATATATATATATAGATACATACACACACACACACATACACTGCTGTGTGTGCTGTTAGTGTGATGTGTGTGTGAGGGTGCTGTTAGTGTGATGTGAGGGTGTTTGTGACTGTGCTGTTTGTGTGTGAGGGTGTTTGTGTGTGTATGTTTGTCCTGTGAGGGTGCTGTTTGTGTGAGTGTCGTGTATTTGTGAGGGTGCTGTTTGTGTGTGTGTGTGAGGGTGTTGTGTTTTTTTTTAAAGGTGCTGTGTATGTTTGTGAGGGTGCGGTTAGTGTACTGTGTGTGTGTGAGCTGTATGTGTGTAGGTGCTGTATGTGTGTGTGCTGTATGTTTGGATGGATTTGGCAGATTAGTAAATCCTTGCTGCCATGTGCCATCCCTGGTGGTCCAGTGGAGAGTGAACTCTAGCCTGCGGGGCTAGAGTTAACTCTCGCGAGATCTGAGCGTTGCCTGCAGCAACGCTCAGATATCGCGAGAGGAACCTGGCGGAGCTTCTGTCTAGAGCTCCCTGGGTCCTCTCCTGCCTCCCTCCATGCTGCTGTGGGCCGGTGAGGTAGATCTTTGGTCTCCCCGCCGGCCCATGGAGGCTTAGAGCAGAGCCGGCACTCAGATAGCGCCGGCTCAGTGTATGTGTGTGTGTGTGTGTATATGATATATATATATATGCGTACACACACACACACTCACAGACACATTCAGACACACACACATACATACACTCACAGACACACACACACACTCACACAGACACACACATTCACAAACACACACTCACAGACACACACACACTCACTGACACACTCCCTATAGCACTTAACTTGGAGTTTCAGAATGGTCATGGTAATAACTTACTAAGAAGGATAATATGAGACGCAAACTCACTTATAACAAGATTATTGACGGATGAAACACCCCCTAAGATAAGGGACTTTCCCCAATGGAAAAGCAAGATGACACTCATAGATATATTGGGAATTTCCCACTTAATTTTTATTTATTTTTTTAAATCTTTTTAATTGGCATTCAAGAGATAAAACACAATTTGAGCTTCTGTGTGGTCCAGGGATATTGAATAAACAACATCTATCCAGCATATCTGAATATAGCATAATACGGAAGGGCTAGTACCTTCTTTTCAACGGAAGTGGATGCAAGGTCTTAATATTCAAATGACTAATGAGGATTGGTCATATGTTCTTAAAATGGGGATGAACTCACAAGTCAGCATCTCTAGAAAAATTATCTTTTTTAAAAGAGTTACTAGATGTGATAGGACTCCAGCTCGATTACATCAATACTGTCAACATTGGTTAGTGATCGATGCTGGAGGTGAAGCTAAACGGGGCGATATGGAACATATTTGGTGGGAATGAAACCACGTTAGATCATATTGGCAGCATGTCCTAGGGGAGATATATAAGATTTTACCAACACCTAAACAATTAACCCCTTCAAAGATATTGCTGGGTTGGCCAGCCTCCTTCAAAGAGAAACATAAACAGTTACTGTTGAACCACTTATTAAATGAAGCAAATGCTATGATCCCGGTCTTTTGGGGTAAATACATAGTTCCGACCAAAGAACAATGGATACAGAGAGTTGAAAAAAATAGGGAAATGGAGGAAATCCATTGGGCAGCTCAGGGATAGAGAGAATATTACTTAAAGGTATGGGAACACTGGCTTACTCAGTGGATGGGCCTCGAATAGACAGATAATCATCTTTTGGTACTTGATGAGGTTACTCTTGAGATAAAGAGGCATACATTAAAGACCAAAATAAAAGGCAACAATAGTGCTCTCAATAAAATATAAATAGTCAGTAAGATATAATAAAAATTATACTCACAAAGGTAGAGCAGGCTAACTGCTCTATGACAACAGCATCGGTGGTATGATCCCTACCTGTGATTCTTTGGAGTAGACCAGGGTAAAAGTAGTAGGTGCTAAGTTGTTAGTAGAATAAAATATAGAAAAACTATTAAAAAATTAAAAAATAGTGGCACAATTAAAGGTGACCAAAATCAATGTATTAGTAGATAAAAAAAAACAATTACATACATCAAAACACGTTTCACCGGTGGGGGGGATGAATGTGTATTACCACATTATAAAGGCATGGTGGCCATATTGGTAGTGGAATAGCTAAAAGAGGCCAGTAAATGGCAATAAGAGAGGGAATATATAAAATGATAAAATACACCATAACCATCATATTATATGAAAGATAATAAAAATTGGAGAATTGGAATGGTAAAAAGTTATAACCTGAGGTAGAAATGGAAAGACATAATTAGATGAGATGGAACAGATCAAACAGGTAAGTTAATCAACATAAATAATAGAAAAAGGGTTAAAACAACTATTCTCAAAACCCAAAACTTTCCTATTAGTGAAATTAAAAATAGAAATAGAACATGGTAACCATGTAGGGAAGGGGATATAGCAAGAAATGTATTGAAAATGTTATCTTTCAAAAAAGGGAGTAGGAGAGTAATAAGAACAGCTGTATGTAAAATAAAATAGTAAAAAATAGACAGTAGAGAGAGCACTATGCATCAAATAAAAATATAAAAAATACAAAAGATGTGAAAAAAGAAAGACACATAGGATGAATTAAATAAAATTAAACAGATCAAAGTGTGTATTGAGCCCATTGGGAATAAAAGTCTGTAAGTTAAAAACCCATTCCATTTTCCAAGGGTTTTTTTTATGTTGCCTCCTCTCCATGGGATGATACATTATTTTGATTCAGGTCTTTGTTATGTATAATGAAATGTTTTAAGACTGAGTGGTTGAGGAGTTCATTAGAGATGTTGCGGCAATGTTAACCTCGTCGTAGCTTAAGGCTCCTTGTGGTCATTCCAACGTATTAGAGACCACAAGGGCATTCTAAAAGATAAATTAAATTTTTGGTATTACAACTGATAAAATCTTTGATGGAGTATATCTTTTGAGTGATTTTAAATTTTGTGGATGAGTCAGTGCTTCTACATACTTTGCATTGCTTACATTTGTAAAAACCTTTTGTTTTGGATAGAAAAGAGGAGGATAATTGGTGCTTTTTGGACTTTTCTTTAGTAAAATTGGAGGTTAAAATAGATTTAAAATTGGGAGCTCCTCTGAATACAATGTTTGGTTGGCCGGGTATGATCTCATTGAGGACATCATCTTGTTTTAAAAGATGCCAATGTTTTTTAACTATTTTGTTGATTTGATTACTTTTGTTGTTAAAACCAAAGATAATAGTCAGAGTAGGTTGGTTGACATTAAAATTTTCTTTATAGTTTAAAAGATAATTTTTTTTCTTTCTTTTTTATAGTATCTATTGTGTGGTTGAGGTTGGCTGGTGAGTAATGTTTTTCAATGAATTTGTTTTGTTTTTTAAATCGGCTTTTGGTTAAAATCCTCAATTTCAGAACAGTTTCTCTGCACTTGTAGGAATTGGCTATTTGGGGCACTCTCTAGCCATGGCTTATAGTGGCAGCCAGATTGATCAATGGCTGTGTTTGTGCATACTTTTTGAAAAAATGTTTTGGTATTGAGTAGTCCTTCTTTAATAAAAAAAATTCTAAATCTAAAAAATTGATAGTTGTTTTACTATGTTTGCATGTTAAAATGATTCCTCTGTCATTAGTGTTAAGATGGTTTAAAAAAAGAGTTAAGTGAATCCTCTGAGCCTTCGCATATAAAAAAGGTCATCAATATATCTAAAATAGGTAACCAGGTTTGCCTGCCCTGCACGCTCACCCCTGATGGCAGTGGATTCCCAATCAGCCATATAGAGGTTAGCATAGCTATAAAATCTTCCTGACAGATTGGAACCCTATATCATGTGGGATTATCGTATATAATGACTGAACATCACAGGTGACTAAAAGAAAATTGGGATGCTAAGTAATTTTTTTTAAAGATCTTAAGAGTGACATAGAGTCTTTTAGATAGGACTTCATTCTTTGGACAGAGGCTTGGAGAAGGATGTCTATGTTTTGAGAAAGATTACATAAGAAGGAACCAATGCCTGATATGTTGTGTCTCCCAGGTGGGTTTTCTTTGTTTTTATAAATTTTTGGCAGAAAGTGTACCACATGAATTTTTGGATACTTTATATTCAGGTAGTTTCGGGTTTGTTTAAAATGGTAAAATCAGTACCTTTCTTTAAAAAGGAAGTTAAAACATTTTGTATACAGGGTGTGGGATCTGATGATAATTTTTCATATACATTGGTGTAATTTAACTGTCTGTAGGCTTCTTTTGTCTACATATCACTGGATAAAATGACCAACCCACCATCTTTATCTGCTGGTGTAATCATAATAATTGAAGTAGTTTCTTGGTGTATGGGGAGGGGAGTTGGAGAGGGAGTGTTAGGCTGAGAATATTATCCGTTTTAAAATCTTTTGAGAGTGGCTTTTCTTACGAACTTGTTTACGTCTATAAAAGTTTCAAATGACTTAAAAGTGGGGGCAAATTTTAAACTGTTTTTAAAACTGATATCTGGGCAGCAGTTAAAACTTTATGGGATAGGTTCAAAATGCCACATTGTTTCTCACTTGGAGCTATTATTGTCTTTCTAGCCTTTCTAATCTTTCTCTCTTGTGTTCTTCTCCCACTTAGTTTTCCTCTGAACTTAAAGTTAACTTAACTTACGTTTAGAGGAAAACAAAGTGGGAGAAGAACATACGAGAGAAAGATTAGAGGAAAACGAACTGGGAGAAGAACACAAGAGAGAAAGATTAGAACAAAGGAGAGGCACTACCATGGGGACTAGCTTTTCCTCCAGCAATGCTAACCTCTTTATGGCTGATTGGGAATCCACTGCCATCTGGGGTGAGCATGCCTGGCGGGCAAACCTGGTTACCTATTTTAGATATATTGATGATCTTAATATTTTAGATTTATAATTTTTTATTAAAGATGGACTACTCAATGTCAAAACGTTTTTTCAAAAAGTATGCACAAACAAAGCCATCGATCAATCTAGCTGCCACTTTAAGCATGGCTAGAGAGTGCCTTAAAGAGCCAATTCCTATGACTGCGGAGAAACTGTTCTGA